CTTCAACGCGCGCCGCGCCGGCCTCGTCCGCGCGCTCACCTCCGGTGAGTACCCGACCGACCGGCCGCGCCCCTTCCTTTCTTCTCCTCCCCCCCTCATCTCCTTTGCCCCTCTCGTAGCGCCGCGCTGACGGGCCACCCGCGCGCGCCGCAGATCTAACACCGCGCTTCTCTCCTGCGCCTCGTGCCGCCGTGCAGATGTCGACGACTTCTTCGACAGCTGCGACCCAGGTGAGTTGCCCCCCAGATTGGATGGATGGATTGGGCGGCTCCGCTGCCGCCGGGCGGTGGGATCCGGACGGGGATTTTGACTGGATCGGCCTGGGTTTTGTCTCTCTCTGCCCGCAGATAAGGAGAACCTCTGCCTCTACGGCCACCCCGACGGGACCTGGGAGGTGTCGCTGCCGGCGGAGGAGGTGCCCCCCGAGCTGCCCGAGCCGGCCCTCGGCATCAATTTCGCCCGCAACGGCATGAACCGCCGCGACTGGCTCTCCCTCGTCGCCGTCCACTCCGACTCGTGGCTCCTCTCCGTCGCCTTCTTCTTCGGGGCGCCGCTCACCGCAAACGAACGGTAATTTTGGACTGCTGCCGTTCCTCCTCCTCCTTTACCGAGTTCGATTTCTCCTGGCTTGAGAAAATATTTGCTTTAGCTTTTGAATTGTAAATTATCTATTCCTGATTGACAGTTTAGGCAAGATCAAATGTGGCCTTTTTTGATAGAGTACTTTAGCTTGACTGCTAGGTGACTTGGGGAGTTGGGATACGCGTGACCGATTTGATGGCCCATTTATTTTGTTTCACTTGGTGGTTGGTGCATGTGTGTGCATGTGCACATGTATCTTGTGCTCCTCTCTTTGTTTCTTTTCATTGCTTTGAGTGTATCGGAGGGTCATGCTTTTTGTTTCAGTTTGCTTTATTGGGCTTGCGGTTACTTGTTTCTTTCTTTCTGTGACCCTCTGGGCTTGATGGCGATATAATCCATAGGTTTCCAGCTGTTAGGCCATATGAAAAGCAACTGCCCCCTTTCACTTTATTTTAGAAATCATAAACATACACAAATAAAGGATTGCGTGCTTCTATGTAGTTCCATCCTTGCAGTTTCCGCTGCTATAAAGAACATTTTTGTGTTTGCGGTGACTAACTATGCCACATTGTCACAACTTGCTCTAAGCTTAGCTATTTAGAAACTAAGATTAAAATGCCATCTATCTATGAGTAAAAACTCAAAAGATTCCAATATTCTCCTCAGAAAGAAGGAGAAGGGTCTTATATTGATGGCGGGCCAGGGCCATTCCTTTCTAAGTTCCTGCCATGTTAATTGCAGAGTTATTGATTTCCATCGATGGGATTCTAGTAGTTGAAGAAGTTGTGCATTTACTCGGTGATGTAATGTGTATACGAAGCAAACAGGAAACATACAATTATATCATGACCTACCCCATCATCAAATGCTATACACTGCAGTTTTAGGGCTTTTACAGTATTATCATGCTGAATGACCAAAGCGTCTTGCCAAAGGCTTTGAGTAAATATAAAGGTGGAGTTTGGCATAGTAAGAAGCAACTATTCCTTTTTCATTTTATTTCAGAAATCATATATACACAAATAAAGGACAGTGTGCTTCTGTGTAGTTCCCAGCTTCGGCTGCTCTAAAGAATTTTAATGTCCAGCCTATTTTTATGTTTGTGGTGATGAACTGTGTCACATTTCCACAACTTGCTCTAAGCTTAGCTATGTAGAACCGAAGATCAAAGTGCCATCTATTTATGAGTAAAACTCTAAAAGGTTCCAAGATTCTTCTCACAAAGAATAAAGAAGGCTCTTATATTCCAAGATTCTTCTTCTCACAAAATAAGAAAGAAGGCTCTTATATTGGTGGCGGGACCATTCCTTCCTGAAGTTCTGTCATGTTAATTGCAGAGCTATTTATTTTTGCCATCTTGCTCTCTTTTGTGGACCCTTTCTCGGGCAGCATATTATGAGTTCATTCTGTTTCTCTATAGTCTATACACTGAATGACAACCAGTTTTTTTCCCGCGGGAAAGATGAAAACCAGGTTATTTGTTTTTTTAATCTCAAAATGGAGTTAATAGCAACCAATGCCCATTGTTTAATTTATGTCTTGTTCAAGCATGCTGGTAAAGCCATAATTCCGGAATCTTTCTTACACTAACTTGTGTCTTTAGTTTGTGCACCTTACACCTTTTTTCTCCACACTATAGTGAGAGTTTGCTGCCTTAGTACTTCATATACCTTGTGCAACTTCAGGTTGTTTGTAATGTGCATAATTTTGACCTTCAAAATTTAGCTAGCTGGGATAAAAGAAAACACTTAAAAAAAATCTTCACTTTAGTACCATACTCCTTCGTGGACCTGTTACATCTTGTCAGTGTGTCACTCATCATCGCCATCTCTAGAAATTAACAATTGGACCACGAGAATCCCCACTATTGGACCATGATATTCTTTAGTTATCCCATTTTATTGTTTGTTATACAATTTACCTATAATAGGGTTTCGTTTTCACTTGAATGTTCATGTACCCTTGTCTTGGCTATCATAGTGAAATTCATACTTTTGCTCACTTGAGGGCTTTATTTTGGAACAAATTATTTCAGAAGGCTTCACAGGTTTTTTTTCCTTGTATACATACCTAGTACAGTAATTTTGGTGGCCTGCTATGCTAGTAATCTATTTACCATCCGTGACTCTGTTCTCTTGTGTTAGCACTAAAGATAAAGGCCCACGCTGCTCATCTATATTGAAAGTGGTGTGAAGCCTATATTGTGGGGGGAAATCTAACTAAGAAGATCCACCGGTTCCATGCACTTGCTATACTGTTCTTGATGTTTTCTTTGTCAAGTGTTCTGTTATTTAGTTCTTGCCACATGTAGCTGTCAAGTTTACGCCAAGCTGTAGCTATTTACTGATTGCACAAGAAAACTGGTTCCATGTTTTTTTCTTTTCAAAAGGCCATTTTGAGTACTTCCGCAAATTCCTTCTTGCTGTTCTGTTATTAGTGTTCTCTTTTTCTCTTGGCTGCTTTTTGTCCTAAGAAATTTTTCTCCCCTTTAATGGAGGAATAGCTCTTATAGTATGTGTATCAAGTTGGTGCGTAAGCTTCAGCTGCACCTTGTTGCCAATCCAACGTTTCTGTGCCTTGTGTCTGCCAGGAAGCGCTTGTTCAGCATGATCAACGATCTTCCAAATGTGTATGAAAGTATGGTTGGCAGGAAGCACAGGGACAGGTCTGGTGTTGATAGCAGTGGCAAATCCAGGCACTCATCAAAGCCAAAGGTACGCTGACTGACCCCCCACTGCAGTAGTTTATGTTTGTTGGAAATTCCAAAACTCGAAGCGCATCTCCGAACGTAACTCGGAACTGAATTGCAATTTGTTCTGTGCAGCAACGAACTGATGATGTCCGCCCAAAGAACTCCAGGGCAGTTGCTCGAGAGGAAGACGAGGACGAGGATGAAGAAGAACACAGCGAAACCTTTTGCGGAAGCTGCACTGGCATATACAACGCAAGCGAGTTCTGGATCGGGTGCGACATTTGCGAGCGGTGGTTCCACGGGAAATGCGTGCGGATAACCCCGGCCAAAGCGGATCACATAAAGCACTACAAGTGCCCTGAATGCAGCAGCTCCAAGAAAATGAGGCAGTAGGCCGTGGCCTGCAAGTCTGCTTGAGCCGCCGTCTCTGACCCATCTGATCAAACTACACCACCATGTTTCTTTTCTGCCCAAGGTCGCGGCTAGCGGATGTGGATTCCTCTAGAAACTGTGCTCCCTCTCCCATGTGGTAGTCTCCTAGCCGTAGGTGCTGTGAAAGACTGATACATACTAGCTCATACTCTGGTAGCATTATAGATGTTTACTTGGTTGTCATTTGATGTGTTCATTCCCAGGTGTGGACAATGTCGTCGCAACGTTTGCTGATGATGATTGAATTGTGCCTTGGTAGGCGATTTGCTGATTGGCTTGTGTTTTTGCAAAATGAAGTGCCTTTCTTTGATCTGTCTGAGGGCCCCTAGCGGAAGTACAGGGGCCAAAGAATCTATCAGGTAGATTAAACACAGGACTATGACTTTGACACTGTTCATCTGTTTGAGCTTCAGAGAAATGAACCAAAGTGAAGGATTTCTACAATCCATGGAGCTCTTTGTACCAAGTACCAAGGTCTATTTGGTGGTTTGTCTTTGATCTGAACATTTTATTAAGAGTCTCTTGTTTCTTCAATTCCTACGAATTGAACACCTAGGTCTGACAAATATCCCTTTGCACAACTCTCCCATGGAAGAAGCCACGGTTGCTCCCTACTCCCAAGTTCTGCTCCGCCATAAAGCAATCCCCACCGAAATGTCGCTGCACTCGCTAATGTTTGAGGAACCTGCACTCAAGCACACATCAATAGTTAACCGCACTGCTTGACAGTTAAATAAAAACATTTTAACATCCTAAACTTTGGCATGTAACCCGCCCTGCCCTCACCCGTGAAAAGAATAATGTGGGTTAAGATCTAATTTCTCCTCCAACAGCTCCCTACTCCCCAAAAAAATTTGGTATAGTGAAGTTGGCACAAAAAACGCGCTCTAGCAGCTTCCCTATTCCTATTTTTCTATGATGATCATAAAAAGAAAGAGAAAAAAAATCACTCCAGGTCCTCATACTCGTCGCGTTGGCCACATTAGTCCCTGTAGTTACAAATACCCGAAAATACGTCACTGAACTTGTCTCAGGTGGTCATCTACGATCCAATATACGTTTTCTTCTACATACGTGCTGATTTGGCGATTGACTGGCATGTCCACGCGGGTTTTGACCGCCAGCTCATCTCCACATGTTCCGGGCCGATCGATTCGGGGGAATGCGTTTTTTTTTGCAAAATCGCCAGGGAATAAACAGTAGCCCACCTGGTCGGACCAGACCGAGTCGCTCCCCTCCCCTGCTCTGCTCCGCTCCGTTTCCCTGTTCGTCGCCGCTGCCGAGGTGCGACCTCGAGCTCGCCGGCGTGGCCGACAAGTCACCAATCATGTATTCAAGCTTTCTCTTCTCTTGCTTTAAATTATCCCCCTCTCCAATGACTTGGTCCCTCTCCTGCATGACTTGGTCTCTTTTTTTTTCTGCCTTAGCCCTGAATACCTGATGAATGCTTGTTACTGTTTTGTCATTCATCTTCCTCTTCTCAAGCTCTTCCCTAAGATCAGTCGTAGCAATTTGTGTGCTGCCTAATTGGCTAATTGCCTGCTCCTTCTCAGCCACCATAGTAGCAAAATCAAGTTTGAAATTGCTAAGCTCTTTTTCCAACTTCTTCTTCTCTTCCATAATCTTCAACTTTTCCTCAGCATTCAGAACATTTTGTCTGAGATTCTATTTTGTCTCCTCTTGATACATGCTCCATATGCTAGCTAGGCTCATTCATAGCATCAGGCCACTCAGGGTCAACCCACTCCACATAGTTGCAGCTAGGCACTTCCTATGAATTTAAAACAAACATAAATTTAGTTAACTAATCAAGAAATTCAGTTAACTACTCAAAAAATTCAGTTAACTACACATAGCACATCAATGGCATACAAATTCACTACTGAAGAAATAACTAAAATTTGAACTTAACTGGACCTTTAGCTTTAACTGAGCTTTTTAAACTTTTGACAGTGTCACTGAATTTGTACTGACCTTGTGGGCACATGTTAGGAACCTCCTGTCAGTATCAACTGATTTAAATGTCAGTTCCATGCTGACATGTAAAGCTAGGCAGATCCTGTCGCCAGGCATCTCCATTCCTCACAGAAGATTGTGGTAGGAGCCTAAAACAAATTTAGATTGGATTCAAAATGAAGAAAGAAACCCTAGTTGTTGGTAACCGTAGTAGGAGATGAGGAGGAGATAACCAACCTTGCTGGTAACCGAGTCGTCTTCAGAAGAGCTAGGGAGATCATCCCACGACACCATGGCTGACGCTGGAGGAAGAAGAGAAGAAGGGGCAGCGACGATGGACGCAAGTTTTCCTTTTGACTTGCGGACTGTCACAAGTTTCCTCCAATTTACTCGGCGTCGAGGTGCAGACGGAGAAATTGAAGTTGTCCAAGGAGCAATGGTGCATCCTTTCATCTCAAGCAGATATCATGAGGAACACCAGGAAGCGGGTGAAGGAGATCAAGGAGGACGGGGATCTGCTTAAAGAAGAGAGAAAAAGCTCGAGTGTGCCATTTCTGAAAGCTGGCCATGGGAACAAGGAGAAGCTTCGGAAGATCAATGTTATCCTGGAGGAATGGAGTGCTAGCTATCTTGGTGGTCAAGTATATATTAGGCCTATATATAGATGGCCTTGTAACCTAATGTTGTTGGGTGTTTATTTTGGTGATGTGATATGTTAAAGTTATGAGTTAAGGGCTGCTCTCATGTTGGCTGTAATGACTATACATAGCATGCTTAAGTTATGAACTGCCTGTCCTCGGGTTAAGAACGGCTATGTTAGTGTACTAACATGAGATTTTTTGTAGACTAAGTCGCCTCAGATCGTCATAAGTGTTTGTTGAGAAAATTAGTAAGATAACCGGTAGATTTTTGTAGCGCCCAAGGAATGTGGTAGCGAACCTGAAATTGAACTCGAATGTGGCAGTTTTGTACAATTCACTTCGATTTTTTATGGGGAAAAACGCACATGTTACACGTGCTAAAAAGTACAGCACAAGCCATGAAAAGACCTAAAGCCATGAAACTGAATTTGCGCAAAGAAACCCGATTTTGTGGGCATTTTTGGTTTCATTATTGGCTCGATTTTGAGAGTACTGTTTTCTTCTCTTATCCTGGACAATTATTCACCGGTGATCTTCCTCGCAACACGCAAAGATTTGTCGGAACAATCTAGCAAGAGAACCATTACAGTGTACCAGCATATCAACCAGCCGTTATTGCACAATCATACAGCAGGCAACTATAAGGTCTAGCACTGGGCTGGGCACAACACATCTCAGAAGCAAGGTTTGATCATGACCCTACAACAGAAGGGAAGGAATACAGTATAGCTAATAATCCAGCCATCAGGCGATGCATCCTCTGCTCCGGAGGCTCTCGACGGCGTCCCTGATGATCTTCTCCACCGGAGTGAACTGTAGGTCCAACGCCATCAGCTTCTTCGGCACCACCTCCGCTCTCACCAGCCCAGGCTGCGTGTCCTCGGGGAACCTACCGACGAAACCCACATCAAGCGAAATGGTTACCACCGCGACAACGGTCCGTTAATGTCGTTGTTTGCTATGGAATTATTGTGCTCCAAACATATCATGTATGTGTTCAGTGTGTGTTGCTTACTTGGGGACTTTGTAGTCGGGGTAGAGCTCGGCCACTTTCAACGCGAAATCGCTCCAGTGACAGATGGGCTCCAGTGCTCCACGCAGAGGTGCCTCCCGGACGCCGAAGGGTTCTCGAACAGGGCGATATGGGCCAACGCGACGTCTTCCACGTGGACTGGCCCGATGAAGAAATTCTTGTACTCCTCTGTGCAGCCTGCGTGTGCATAGAGATGTGTTGAGGATGTGTTTCATACTTGTAGTTGTGAAACTCTTTAGGTTAACGTCGTGTCTTCGTCTGACCGACGGCTGCGTGTTTATATGCTGGGGCGCAACTCCCAGATCGCGTACATGGTTGAGATTACAACTTGGGATACAAGGGATAAGAGGATAGAGATAGAGTTGTTACAAAGATAAACATGCTAACAACCTGGACTAACCTAGCCGGATCCCCTTGGAGTCTACGTTACCAACCTGTCACGATCGGGCACACAATGCGTTGCTTAACATCCTCCCTTAATCACAACTTTGTCAAGTTGAGATTACGCTTGAATTCTTCAAAACTTCTTGTAGGCAACGGTTTTGTGAAACCATCTGCAACTTGATCTCTAGAATGCACAAACCGAATGTCTAACTGCTGATTTGCAACTCTTTCTCTGACAAAGTGGAAATCAATTTCAATATGCTTCGTTCTTGCATGAAACACTGGATTTGCAGATAGGTAGGTGGCACCAAGATTATCACACCATAAACACGGAGCTTTGGTACTCTTTATACCAAGTTCCTTTAACATAGACTGTACCCAAATAATTTCTGCTGTGGCATTTGCAAGTGCCTTGTACTCAGTTTCTGTGCTTGACCTTGATACAATAGCCTGTTTCTTTGCACACCATGATATTAGGTTTGGTCCAAAAAATACTGCAAACCCACCAGTAGAGCGTCTGTCATCTATGCATCCTGCCCAATCAGAATCTGAGAAAGCACTGACTAGGGTAGATGAAGATTTTCTGAAAGTAAGACCAAGATTCATAGTATTTTTCACATATCTTACTATACGTTTAGCAGCAGTCCAATGAACTGTAGTGGGTGCATGAAGAAATTGGCATACTTTGTTAACAGCAAATGAAATATCATGTCTTGTCAGAGTCAAGTACTGAAGTGCTCCTACCAGACTTCTGTAGTTTGTACTGTCCTCTTGATTCAAGGGTTCTCCTTCTGTAAGTGAGAGTTTCTCTGAACTAGACAAGGGTGTTGGTGAAGGTTTGCATCCTTGAAGACTAACTCTTCTTACCAGATCAGTAGCATATTTTTCCTGAGAGAGATGAAGGCCATCTTCATGTTTCTTTACCTCAATCCCTAGGAAGAAATGTA